TGTGCGCATACAAAGCAACTTGTCCCCATGTCTCTCCCTCCTGAGCAAGCTATTCCCTTCTTCAATGTAATGGAGAGTTGATAGATCACTACCACCTTTCCCACAAATAAATAAGGGCTGTAAAAGGTGCACACTAAAATCTCCAGCTCCTGTTTCCCCACCCTCCCTCCTATGGGGGTAGTTATCCATGCTGGTCAGCTTTTGCCAGCCATGACCCTGCTGTTGGTACGGATCCTGGTTCTGGATCTTTTTCCCTAAAGGAATCTGCCAACGTAAGCCCAGAGGCAACATTTAGAGCCCTCCTCATTATGCTTCAGCAGCCGCCTGCTGTCAGTAATCTTCTTCTTGATACCAATGGTCAAGAAAGACACAGCATCCCAGTAACACCCTCTGCAGAACAGTATGCAAGGATGCACCTCTTCACAGCTCAGCCATTGCCCTTCCCTGGGACAGCTCACGAGCTGTCGCCCTCTTCAGCCTCATCCCCAGAGCTCTGCAGCCCCTTCCGATCTGCAGTCCCACTTGTGCCCACATAGTGAGTGTCCAGTACAACCGAGTAGCCGATGATGAACTCTGCCCAGCTTCTGTAAGACCACAGGTCTGGTCTCTCCACAGACAGCACATCATCCAGGCAGAGGGATGCCACCTTCTGTCTCACAGGAGGATGATCAGTAGTGGGCAGGAGCCTGTTCTCTGTCACCTCTGGTCCTGGCCCCACATGAGTTGCCTTGATTTTGGTCAGGCTGGTATCTGAGGGAACCAGCTCCTCCTATCACAGCAACCACGCTTCAGCGTTAAGTTGCTTAAGTTGGCCTTTTATTTTGTAACTGAAAAGGAAGATTCATTTGATGTTCCTTCCCACCCAGACTAACACAACCGAACTCCAGTTTGGCAAAGCCATCCGGTGTTTCTTGGGGGATACTTTCCCTCCAAAGCCACCTAGACACAGAAATCTGAGAACACACTAAAGGTATGGCCAAAGAACAGCGACCAACTAAAATCACGGCTCTTTGTTTCATCCTCAGAGCATCTATACGAAGATTTAAGGAGATGGCTCCTGCCTACATAGCTCTTTGCACACACACCCTCAGTCCATTTCAGGTAGAAGAGATGTTCAGACTCTGTGCTTCTCAGCTTCCATCCAATGATTCAGGCATGAACAGAGCAGACTGATGTTTTTCACCTGCAGGATAATCATAGGTGAATTACAGACTTCAACTCCAGATTTGTCGGTTTGTCTCAGCCAAATCTTGCTCAGATGCAAATCACCTTCCTTCTGTAAAGCCATCAAGCTGCTCTGCTTACAGCACTATCCCGTTAACCGCTCACTGCCCAAACTCTGTTTTGAGGCTTACCTGGCAGGTAGCAGATCTGCCATAGCAGATCTTTCTCACATGACTGCAAAATTCTTACTGCCTCGGCCACCTCATAACAGTCATCGTCTTTCTTCCCAACATCACTCCTGTTACAAGGAAACTTGTAAGTGGTGACTGTACTGTGTGGTAGTGCCCTCCACTTTCTAAGAAAACAGCATGGGGGGCAGTGACTCCTTTTTTGGGCAGATCACTTGCTTAGGTTGTGAGAAATACCATGTTTAATTCTCTTTGTCTTTTTCTTCTCTCCTCGAAATGTGTCAGGCAAGACCATGGCACAGGGGAATGATGAGATTTGCACTGTCATTGACTTAAGGTACCTTGAACGTTTTGCTGCATCACAGCTCAGCATCACCTGGCAGGGTGCAGCCTGCTCAGACAAGGGATACAGTTTTCAGCAG